GCACACTCATCATTAACAACCACTCAGATGAAAAACAGTGGTCAGCCCATTGACAGATTCTTAGCTGTCCGACGTCCTCAACTGCAATATGTGAAAGGATTCCGAGTCAAAAAGACTAGCGCATGAACTGATACCTTAGAAAAACCGCGAACAAAATAATAAGGCAAGATCTCAAATCACTCTAGAAGAGAAGAGAACATGCGATAACCGTCTAACGCAAAGGGACTGTGGAGAAGCATCTGAATGATAATAATACTCAGATCGTACACAGTCAACTAAGATTTTATCAAAAGAAGAATATAAGCCAAAAGTGACTAATGCTTGTAGAAAAATGACAGAATTAGGACGGCTTTGATATACTTGAGATAAAGAACTCGCTGAGGTGGGAAAGCGGAGGTAGTCTAAACAGTCGAGAAAAATTACGAGTAATCAAGTAGACACATTCGGGACGGATTCGGTAAACCTCCTATTTGAAAAAAAAGAGAGCAACAGTACTTTCATAGACAGTGCATCGTTAGTTCGAGTAATGGCTTCCCAAGGAACACGGCAAGAAGGGTATCGTCATTAAAAGCACGCCAGAAACTCCTAGATCACCATCGTCACGTAACGATGACAAGCCGCTCCGAGAACAATACCTGGTAATACAGGAACTCCAATAAGCAAATGTAGACACACCTAAGTAACGTGTTCTAATAGGCCTCGAATTGATCCAAGGTCTTTTAAACTCACTGTTCCAACCCAACGAAAAAGTTTTAGTATGAAAACCCTTCACGCTCGGTAAGAACACTACTGAGTCCTACCTCCCACCGCATTCCAGGCCCCTCAAAATTGTTCTGAGATGCAAAGGGCAGGTCAGTCTTATCCTCTCAAGGTGTTTTTAACGAAAATATTCCTACATTGAGTTTTTCAGCCAGATCACGCACCGCCGGAGCGGCCAAAATGCCAGCGGTTAGTCCAGGAGCTCAGAATGCGACCGAGGCACGGAGTACAAAACCTGGTTATTTAAAACGACCGGCCATCTCGGTTAATGTGAACTCATCCTGTGCGTATGATACCACAAATGAAGCGAATGGAAAAGGTGACGGCATAGCCGACTAACAACGGACAAAACTAAAATATTTGCATACGAACACGCAAAGTGTGCCATCTAGATTAGACAAGCTTAAGATCTAAATATACCAACCTTCGCCCAGTGGTGCCGCACATGGCGCCTTTCTCTTTCCTGGCATAAGTGCTCAGTCATGGTGGTTGGCGACGACCGTCAACCTCAACTAAGTATTGAAGGTCACGCAATAAATTTGCCAGGGGTTAAAAGGGATTTGGGCGTATCATACTCCAAGAGTCTTAATCTCTCGGAGCACTGTGCCTTGATAGTCTCCAAAGCACGTAGAACGACCGGGTTTATCCTCCGAAATTTTAAAACTAGGGACATTAGAATGCGCCTTTTCAACATGTACGTTAGACCTGGTCTGGAATACTGTTCGTTTTCATTTAGCCTCATGCGTGCTACTGAGCAGAAGAAAATAGAATCCGTTCAACACTTTTTTACTAAAAGAATTTTAACCCCAGAACACCGACATTTGTCTTACCAAGAACGTTGCCGGCTTACAGGCCTCGATCCTTTATGGTTCCGTAGATTACAAAAGGGACTATTTTTGCTATTTAAACTCTTATATAATCAGACATTTAACCCACTCACCTCTTTAAGACATCATATCCACCCACGACGTAACAGTCACCGTGAGGTCTTCTTATTTCTGCCTCTGGCACGTACTGTCAAAGATCGTCGGTTCTTTTCTGTAAATGCAATTGCTATTTTGAATAAACTACCCATGAGTGTGAAAACTCTGCAAAATTTTCCTTTATTTAAGAGAACTATTACTCGATTTTTGCATTCAGAAAAGCTCCCACAAATTTTGGGTGCTGAATCTACTGATCGACTGTACCGTAGCGATGGCGTTTGTGGTCTCTGAACACTATGGCCGGTCTCACCAGCTGTTCCTCAACGCCTCTACTTTGACTATCCCCAACTTCATGAAAGGAATTTGACATCCGATAATCTCCGATACCGTGCAACCTCCCCCCTTCTTGACGGTCGATATTCTACCACCGCCGACAGTTTTTTTCTCCTGAGCCCTCCAAACCACAAAAACCACCATCAACTATATTTTTATGCCTTAAGCTCAGGAGTTTTTTTTCACTGCTGGTCGGATTTGTGTTTAATCGCTTCCCTTGACAATGCCTGTAAACTGGCATTAAATTAAAATTTATTTATAAATGTCATATTCATAACTGAAGCGCCGCTGTCCATGAACATAGGCGATCGTGGAGTCGCTCATCCGGTTTTGAGTTGTTCAAAAAGGATAGAACGGGACGTCAAGTTGTGGGGTGCGTGCACCTACGTCAGCCATGGTTTGATTTTGTCAGACAAAACGAGAAAGCTCGCACGCACTACCGAGACAAGTTGGCTCACAATAAGGACGTCGGGATAGTAAACTCTCGACATTCTGACGTTCTACCGACATCTAAGGAACGACCCTCAGTCAAAAAGAAGTTAAAGAGAGGAATTAGATGCGTTTTCTACCGGATCCGATGTCATAATTTTGGGTGATTATAACGCTCCGAATATCGAATGGACTCTGAATTTGGCCCCAAGTTTAGAATTAAACTTTGATCGTCGCCTCCTTTAAGCAGCACAAAAGTCATATCTCACTCAACGCGTCTTATCTCCAACTAGACCACACGACGGGCAACAGGCCAACTGGTTGGACCTTGTTCCTACAAAAGCGCCTGGCAGCGACGATGTCGGAAATCGTATATCACATATCAGTAGAAGTGACCACATAGTTCTACAGTGGGATCATTCCCTCTTCTCTGTATCTAATTAAAACACCACGAGGTCGCGTGTTCGAGGCTCGGATGTTCCACACTTCGGGCTTGGGTATGGCTGGCTGACGACGGCTAATAAGCCAGAAATGGCCATTCCAGTCTCCCTTGTCTTTGTCGGTAATACCATTCTGCCTATATATCATGCGCCGCTGCGCGGCTGCTGGTTGGGCTCGAGAGAGAGCCCTTAAGGCACAACGGAACGAGTGAGTTCTGTATGAACGATCGGTGAGCGCCCCCTAACATTAAAACACCACGGTCAGAAGCAACGTATGGAGCGGCGATTTAAACCAAATGGCAATCTACACGCGCCATACAGACTGGGACGCAGCATTTAGGGATGCGTTAACTAAAGCACTTACAGATGAAATCTAATAGAGTGCGCGACCGAAAAACAAAAGTAAACGGACAAATACAATATTGATTAGTTAAAATAAACAAATGGGAAGGAATAGCATGCTAGAAAAGCAAAGGAATATGGTAATCAGAGTGAAATTGCGATAGAAAATTGCCTTTCAATAATGGCATTTTCAACTGACTATCGTAAATATCGACCGTTTGCAATGCAATTCACCAGTTACGTAGGTTAAATGGTAAGCACATCCTCATCTTTATACCTAACAGGATGACGTTTCTGGACAGACCACTGGAAGCCGAAAGGCATGAAAAATCTTAAGTTTGGGCGAGCTGCGTGAAACTTTAAAAACAAGTAACTGTGTACTCACTGCGCTAACAATGCTAACTAACTATGCTAACTATATTAAATAACTGACTACCTAACTAACAAACCATACTAACTTACTAGCTGACTAATTAACTAAATAACTATACTAAATAACTAACTAAAAATGCTTAATAACTAGCTAACTAACTATACTAAGTAATTAACTAAAGATTGGGAGAGCTGCGTGAAACCTTCAAAGCGAGTGACTATGTAATAACTTCTTACTTGACCAACTTTCTTACCTGACCGACTTTCTTACCGACATCGTCCGGGTCTCCCAGTGACCGGACGTATCCCCCCAACTATAATTTCACAAAAGTTGGACTCAAGAACAGTCCCAGAAGCCGTCTCGGCTTGCGTGAAAATGTTCGACCAATCACTATTCAGTACTTTGAAAGCCCTCCACATATCGCTCTTTTAATCACTCGCTAACATTTACGGAGTCCTTTTTCAAGGATTTGTTGAAATTTAAGGCTTTATTATATGGACATATAAACAGGTACTGCCTTTAATTGAATAAGAACATCATCAGCTGGCCCCAATGACCAACGGCCGCACTAAAAAGAGAGGTAAACCACAAGTGAACGCTGTGGAAAACTTATCTAGAAAAAAGTTATCGAGCTGAGGAGCATAGAAGAAGGGTGAAAAGCCTTGTTTATAAAGTACGCCAAGACCTCGGGAGTAACTTGCTAGACTTTGCAGCAAAAAATAAAGTTTCTCTATCCGTACATAAGACAATGCACTCAAAATAGAGGTTATACCCATACGTTGAAAACATAATGGTATTTAACTTTACAAGGACGAAGGAAAAACTTAGCATCTATCTAAGTTCTTTCAGTCGGTTTTCGCGAGGGAAGCTAATTTAACCGCCGACAGAAATAATGTAAATAAGGTCCCGAAAATTGGCTCAATGGTTCCCGTCACAGCAATTGTTTTACAAGAACTGCTGACGCTGAAATAACCGAAATCGCCAAGCCCTGATAAAATAGCAGGAAAGTTGTTGAAGGACATAGCCGTAGAATTGGCAGAACCCCCTGTCCTCTCTTTCAAGTGTCCTCGATGCAGGCAGATTGCCACTTAAGTGGAAGACTGCGTAGATTTCACCTATGGATAAAAGTAGCAGACCTGTTCCGCAAACACCTATCAATAGGTAAGCCTCACCCCCATATGTTGCGTAATTATGGTGCGAATTATCAAAGGCAAACTGTCGCAATTTTCAGAGAAACACCATGTCTCTGACGCGCAGCATTGATTACGCAGAGGAAGGCCCTGCTTGACCAATTTCCCCTACTGTCTCGAATGGCAGAGCCGAGTGACTGATGGAGAAAATATGGGGAACGAAGCCTATACAAACTTCAAGAGGACCTTCGATAGAGTGCTACACCAACACCTATATAGGCTCAGCCTCACAGAGGTAAGGGGCAAGCTTCTGCAGGGGATCGAAGACTTCCAGGTTAGTCGATTCCAGATTGTCCGTCTTGGCGACCAGCAATTGGCAGAGGTAACGGCTGAGAGCGAATTTCCTCAAGGCTCCGTTCTTGTTCCTATCTTCTTCCTTATATCTGCCGACGACTGCATCTATGGGTTGGACTGCAATATCGTCCTGTTTGCTGAAGGCAAAAGGTCCTGAATCGTCATCCGCAACGAGGATAACGAATCAAATCTACAAGTAACCATGCGTCGACTCGACCAATGGTCAAATAACTGGCTTCTCCCGTTTAATGCTATCAAGTTCAACATTCTGAGAATCGGCAGGAGTAAGCACTGCGCACCACGCAGGTGACAGTTCAACCATCGATTTCGACGATGTCCACCGTGTGCTCCATATCAGGGTGAGAGCAGACACGATGACTTGCGCGTGATTTCTTTTGTAAAGGAAGTGGTCTTGCGCGGCATCTATCGCGCTCTCTCCTCCTTCCCCACCTGGGCCCGATATCAAGGCATGGTCAAGAAGACCAGAGGTGGGAAAGGGCGCAATTTGCTGACGCGGCCGGAACCGCCCCTAGGCGTGCTGTCACGCCGGGCTCGGATCCCACGTAGTGGGAGTGCCATAAAGGCTACTTTAGGTAGGTGTGCGGGCTAGCTCTCAGACCACCAGTCGACCGCTCCACAAAAACGCACACTGGGCCGACTACTATCCGTCAGTTGCCAGCCTACAAAGCCACGGAATTTAACACACCGTGATAGCCTCAACCGCGTCAGATTGTTTATAATGAGGGAAATGCACTGAGTCGTCGACCTCAACCTTGCCATTTCTAAGCCTCTGCCGCTGTCTAGGCCGGTCAGCTGATGGTGTGGGAAATGAGCTCATTGGCTGACATTTCCAGTGACCTTGACTGCGCGCGCCACACGCACGACCTGGCCCCCCAAACACAAGCGCCAGGATTTCACACAACGGAGTTAGGCGGCATACACCTCACATGCCTTGGAGTGCCGTCGGTCAAGTAAAGGAGCCGTTGCATCCTGACTCTCAGCCTACCAGTCTTCCACTCCACACAAATACACTCCACTGGGCAGACTGCGGCGACTGAGTCGAAGCGTCAGTTGGCACCCTTGCAAGTCAAGACGCTAGGCCCGCCATGATAGTCTTAGGCTGAGATCAGGCACGCATTAGAGGAGGCAATGGACACACTTCCACTTACGTGAGAGATGCCGATGGTTTCCTTGCGTTGTGTAATAATGGGTGATGTTGGTGTACGTTGTACTTGCTTGTGAGGAGGTGTGGTGGTGATATGGTCGGCGGAAAAGGTGCAGGAGGTCGAAAAGGCCCGTGCAGCCGCTACACATGCGAGGCGTGGACGTCTGGTGTGCGTTGGTGCTCCAGGCATTGGTTAGCCAGTCTCCGTACGATGGGTTCTCAGGTGAACGACCAAGCCGATGAGTGAGGTCGATTTTCGGTGACAGTGTGGGTGGGATAAGTCGAGAGCTTCAGAGTCAGTTTTACTGGTGGTGATGGTGGTGCCGCGGTTGTTGGCGGTGGTGGGAGGTGAGGGTGGCGATGGGGGAATGGTCGAAGTGACGGTGGTGGATGTGCAAGGTGTGCTAGCTGGATCGATGCTGCGGTGTATAGCGTTGTCGTGGATACGCATGCAACTGAGTAGGCCCATGCGCGGATGGATGTACGTGGACAATAAAGGCTGATGCAACGAGTGTGTGTTGGTGTTCTAGGCACTGCTTCGCCAGTCTCTGTATGATGGATTCGCAAGTGACCGACCTGGCCGATGAGTGAAGTGATTATGCGGCCGCAATGAGGACATGTCGGGACCGAGCCCGCACCGCAGGAGGTGGGGACGATAGTGGCGAATGTGTCGGCGGTTGTCGATGTGTCAGGAGCGTTATAGTCGTTGGAGGTTGTGGTAGAGATGGTTGTGCCCGTCGTTGTCGCGTTAGTTGTGGCAGAGAAAATGGAGGTGATAGTGACCGATGGCCCTGTTACAAGGGGGTTTGAAGCAACATTGGTGTGGGTGGGAGCCGACGTTGTCGACGGGGAAGTTGGAGCGGGCGCGGTCGTGACGGCGGCAATTGCGGTCGCCGGGCTATCAGTGCATTGCATCCGAATATGACTGACGAGGCCGATCCGTGCGCGAGACGTCCGGTGACAGTGCGGACACGTCGGCTGGAATGTGGCAATGTGCGACTCTGAAGCGCCTAAAATTTGTGTGCAGCCCTTTTGAATTTGATGGCGGCGATCCGGTTTGTTTCATAGATGGCTGCGCCGGACTACACGTCTGTCCTTCAGGCCAGTAGGTTCTGGGCTAGGTCCTCCGGGGTCTCTGGGTTGATTTGCAGTCGCTTAAGAGAATTCTTCCGTGTTCTTGTAGCGTCGTTCTAGTCTTCCCGGTCGGCAAGCACCCGTAGCGGCATCTCCGCAAGAGAGCGTCGTCCATTCTCACCAGTTAGCCGCTCCGTTGTAATTGTATTTGTCTCAGCATAGCGCGGTGCTAAGGATTCCCGTCCGTTCCTGGACTTCCGTGTCCGGGATCTCGTTCCGCCATCTCAACCCCAGTATTCTGTGAAGGCAGTCGAGATGAAAATGGTTGAGCTTCCTGGCATAGGCAGTCCAGGGTTTCGTGCCATATCAGATGATGTACTATCTGAATCCCACATTGCTACCGGATATGAAGCACGACCTCATTGAAGCCATCATTTGACTGGTTGAAGGAAGCTAAATCCGCAATGTGAAGCCCATGTCTCATCAAGTAAGCTTTTGCAAAGTCCGGCAAAGTGTGCTTTGATAAGGTTTTCGAGATGCTCGTGCAATCACAAATGGAATTTGTCATTCAGAGCCGAAGACCACGGACTTTGAACGACAGCAGCACACTTGAAACGTCCAACAACGACAAGCAAACTTATTCGAGGTCAAGGCTACCTGCCGTACGAAACACCACTGTCCGAACTCGACCTTTACTTTTGAACTACAGACGGTCATGCAATACAGGCGTTTCGACTACTGCGGGGTCAGTAGTGTTGTCTCGCATCCGGCGATTTCTTTGAATTGGCCACCACTACTAGCTCGAAAGAACACCCTCTCAAACTGCTTGTGCTTGGGGAAAGACTGGATACAAGGTGTTTCTTTGTATAATGTCGAGTTCATTCTCAAACTGCGTGCGAATGGGACAAGAATGGACGCAAGAAAATTCTTCTTTGTCCACAGGGTGATTAAGGCATGGAATGCTCTGCCTGTGGACTTTGTCACGTCCCCATCCGTGGATACATTTATGAGCAAGCCTGGCCAGTACAGGGTTACATACCACCACGCCCTCCGAAACTTACAAATTCCCCCCCCCCATGTATCATCCTTCCTGAAGTTAAAACGATGCAAACCATACAAGTCTCTGTGTTCCAGTAAACCTATTTTATAACTGTTTCGTTAAAAATCCCACTGTATAACGCGTGATCGAATGCATCCTAGTTAAAGTTTATGTGCTCATTTCCATAATACTTAACACGTTCCAAATACGGGCTTTGATAATTCCATAATTTTGCCCCACCATGCATACGATGACAGAGTAGTACTTACAAACAGTTACATGCCTGTTGTATGTAATTCTTTAACCAAGCTTCCTTCCAACTTTCCTCATTAATTGGAGATTTTTTGCGAAATTATTGTAACCAATGGGGAGTTTAAATGCGTTCGCCTACCTTTCCATTATTTCGACTGAACTGAATAG